ATATATATGTGATTATAAGTATAGCCACTTAGGTAATATTGATCTAGTGGGGAAGCAGGTCATATAGCAAGTGTATATGGAAAGAACAAGGACCTTTTTGGGAAGAGATGGATCAGGGGGTTCTGGTCACCCACCTGGTGACTGATGTCTATCTGGACTTTATTGGACCAGCTGATACCAATTATAGTATAATCTTCAATTTATCGCTTATCCCTTGGGGAGGCATGTAGGCCTGGTCATTGTCTTTAATAATGTGTCTATAATAATGTGAGGTAGGGAACCCAACTTTATTTTTTCTGCATGTAGATATTCAGTTGTTTAAGCACAATTTGTTGAAAAGACTGTTCTTTCCCCTAATGGTTTTGGCACTTGTGTTTATTTCCTAGGGCTATTGTAATAAATTACATTCTAAGAGGCTTAAAACAACAGAATTTTTTTCCCCCTCACAGTTCAGGTGTCCAGAAGCTCCAAATCAAAGTGTCAACAAGGCTGGTTTCCTTCTGAAGGCTCTGAGACAGGAATCATCTGATGCCTCTCTCCCAGCTTCTGGAAACTTCTGGTAATCCTTGGCTTTCCTCTGTTCGGAGATACATCACCCAGTCTCTGCCTTCATTTTACATAGTAATTTTCTCCCTGTAGCTGTGTCTCTATATGGCCTTTCTTCTGCTTTTTCTTCTTCTCCTCCTTTCTTGCGGTACTGGGGATTAAACTCAGGACCTTTGCATTAAGCTACATCCTTAGCTATTATAACATTTTTAAATTTTGAAACAGGATCTTGAGGTAGGATAGAAGAAATAAAACTAGGTAGAAAGGAGACCAAGAAATTGAGATTTTAAAATTGTACTTTTAAGAAAAACTGCAGCTTCTAGACAAGCTCTTTTCCTGCACCTGGAGGCCATCCTAGCATGTGACTCTGTTCCTCCATCCTTACAGAGAATAGTGTTAAATTCCTAAAGACCCTTTTCACCTGCACACTACCCTTTCCTCCAGCCCAGAAAGCAGCTGCACTGGGGACGGCATGTCTTAACTTCACACGCATATCTCCACTCCAAACCCATGTAGAGGGCTTGCACTGTAACCTAGCAGACTGTGAGAGTGCACATCTGAGTCCATGCATATTGAGGACAGCCTTTCAGTGTGCCCTACCCTGGCCTGTATCGTGCCTCCTCCTTGAGCACCCCCAGTCCACCTTTGAGTGTGTCCTGTTTCTCCCTCTAATAAACTCTTCTCATTCCTCTTTTTCTGACCAGGCCTGAAAATTCTTTTTCTGAGACGGGAGTCAGCGAACCTTCGTACCTCTGTTACAGGGGTGGGTTAGATTCCTTATTTCAGCCTTGGGGACTCTCAAACCCAGCCTGTGGTATCTCTGAACTACATCTTCAGCCCTTTTAACATTTAAAAATTTTGAAATAGGATCTTACTAAGTGCCCCAGTCTGGCCTCAAATTTGCAATTCTCCTGCCTCAGCGTCCTAAGTGCTGGGATTGCAGGCATGTCCCACTATGCCAGGCATGGATTCATAATAATCTTTTTTTTTTTTTTTTGGTACTGGGGTTTCAACTCAGGGCCTTTTGCTTTTGCTAAATCCCTGGCCCAAATCCATAATAATCTTATAACTTCATCTTAACAAATTATATCTTCAGAGGCCCTACTTCCAAATAAGGCTACATTTGGGGGCTCCATACGTACAAAAATTGCCCAGTGGTGGGTCCTGCAGGATTTCTTTCAAGGTTCTTGGCACTGCATACAAAGAATTAGACAAGACACACAGAAAAGGCAATGAGGTTGTTCATTTATTGCAGGTGGCAACACACTCTTCAGGGTGAGAGTCAGGTGGTGAAAAGGCTCATGGCAGCCTCAAGGATATGGGGAAAAGGAGCTTGTGTATCCAAAATTCCCAGCTGGTTTCTTCCTCGTGCAAATAAGGAATTGGCACATTTAGCATCACAGCAGGTAGAAACTGTCCTATTGAAACTCGCTGGGCTTCTCCCCTGATGTAAAAGAGGGGGGATCAGAAACAGCATCTTTTGATTAGTTGTGCCCATATGTAAATGCAAGATTGAGAACAACATCTTCTGATTGGTCTTGGTCTTTCAATCCTTCAAGAGAAGGACTGAAAATAGCACTTTTCTGATTGATCAAGGTGCTTAGGACCCGAAACTCTGTTGTCATTTTGGGTCCCATGTTCTGCCCAAGTCCTCTCCTTTTAGGAAACATCTGTTCAACCTATTAGCCATTCTCATGACCTTTGACACATGCCACCCACTTGGTTGTCTGGTTTGCCCCAGCCCTGGTCTCCTACCTCACATGAATGTCAACAAAGCCCACTCTCTGGTCTGCCAAATTCATGTCTGTCTTGCGTGCAAAATAAATTCACTCCATTCCTTAGTTCCTCAAGTTTCAACCCATTCCAGCACCCACTGTATATCCCAAATCTCCTCTAAATATCAACTCAAAAATCCCCAAATCTCATCATCTTCATTATCTAAACAGTTACGAAACTCTGGACATGGTTCATCCCCAGACAAATTTTTGCAGCTCAGGGAGCTTTTCTTGTCCACCACCAACCAGCCTGCAGGGTCCCTCCGGCCACTCTCGATGGAATATATGTGGGCCCCAGTCTTACCAGCTCCTGGAGACGAGTGTGGTTTTATTTCCAATCCTGGCTTCCTAGGCATTATCCCACCTCACTGTAGTTCATTGTTCGGTCAGTGTTTGGTCAGAGGACCTGCTGAAGGCCTCTGTGCTGATGAGGCATCTGTCCTGCATCAAAAGGCCTCTGCGTGGCTGGGGATGTTTTCAGTTTTGCCCCCAGCAGCCAGGTACATGTGCACAGCCTTCCTGACCCCTGGACTTGAGTGAGCTTTTGGGAAGGCTCTTCTCTCTTTCCATGGTTCTCTGTTACTCTCCCAGTTGTTCTGTCATTTTGCTGCACCTTGGAACTACGAAGCTCCTCTTAATTGCGCTACATCAAGGCCTCTGTAGTTTTCCACACACCCTTAGGCAGTTCTCCGGGCTCCCTTCCAGTAAAGTCTGTGTCCTCAAGCACGGGTCTGAAGCTCTTTGTCCTTATGGGCTGCCTTTCCTCCTGGCAGAACACTTGTGCCATTGCATCAGAGCTGAGGGGAGGTGCTTTCCTGGACACTATGCTCCCCAAGTGGACAGGGAGGGAGGAGGCTGGAAAACACTAGTCTTTGCTTACCTTCCCCACCCCCTACAGAAATCTGTCCATTACAAATCAACTGGAGAAAGGTAGAGTGATGGGGCCCAGTATTCCAACTGTTGTGCCTGGAGTAGTTTCAGCCCTACCAGAAGGGATCCTTCCTGAAATAGCGCCCCTGCAATTGGTGGCACAAGCCTGTAATCCCAGCACTCCAGATCCTTGTGAGTTCGAGGCCAGCCTGTGCTACATAGTGAGTTCAAGACAAGCCTGAACTAACAGTGAAACTCTGTCCTGAAAAACAAACCTGGGCCTGGGATGTAGTTCAGTGGCACCACGCCTGCCTCTAAAATGAAAGGTCCTGAGTTCGATCCCAGCACCAAAAAAAAAAAGAAAAGAAAAGAAAAAACAAACCAGAGGTCTGTGAGGATGAGAAGCCCCAACAAAACCCTGCCCCTCCCTTGGTAAAACTGCAGCCACAGTCTGGGAGCAGAGAGGAATCATTTTGCAGAGAACAGAGCTCTTGGGTGCAGCTTCCTTAATAAGGAACTGAGGGAGGCTGGATGGGGGATGGGATCATGGCTCAGATGCTATCCACTTGTTGCTTTTACCTATCTCTAGATCTTCTTGGATATTTCTCCATTTGCTCTATGCCTTTAGAACAAGGATTTTATATGATTCTGTTTTTTGAGTATTCGTTTTATAATTTTTACCAGTTAAGCTGCTGTTTTGCTGAGAGAGGATGCACTTAACTCCCTTCTCTGCCATTCTCCAAGCCCCACCTACTCTTGCTGCATTTAGAACAGTGCCCATCATGGTGAATGCACGGCAAATGATAATTGCCCCATGTTTTTGTTTCTCTCCATTTATCCTTCAAGATCCTGTGGTTTCTGCCTCCTGAGTGAAGCCTTCCTCAGGATGCACAGGCCCTGGCAGCCAGCCTGCTCCGGGACCCAGTGTGTCACACACCACTCTGTGTAGTGTGAGTGCTGCCTTTGCGGCTGGACCATGAGATGCTCTTATGCATTTTCCTATTCCAAACACACCGGATGCTCTGTAAATATTTGTTAAATGATGTGAAACACTGAGCAGCATTAATAATGCAGAAAAAATTTGTACCTGACAACTATGTAAATAATCTCACTGATATATCTATTCAGTAACCTTTTTAAGGATAGTTTCAGTGAGATATAATTCATATATTTTATAATTCACCCATTTAAAATATTCACATCAGTGGTTTTAGTGTATTCACAGTTTCACAACCATCACCACAATTTAAGAACATGTATACCACCCTCCTCATTAGCTGTCATTCATTTCTCAGCAAGCTCCCTAGGCAGATCTATTTTCTGTCCCTATGGATTCGCCCACTCTAAATATTCTGCAACAAGGGCTCTTTCATGACTGGCATCTTCTCTTCCCTCTCCTTCTCCTCTTCCTCCTTCTCCAAGCCCTCCCTCCCTACCCCCTCCTTCGCACCCTCCACCCTCCCTGCATCTCTGTCCTCCCACAATGGAACCTGGGGTCTTCACACTGAAAAACATCTCCAGGTGAGCTTTTTTTCTTTTTGACACAGGATCAGATTTAACTTCTTAAATTGCCCAATTGGTTCAAGCTTGTGATTCTCCTGCCTCACCCTCCCAGGTGACTGGCTTCTTTAACTTAGAGTGGTGTATTCAAGGTTTATCAAATTTGTAGTATGTTTCAGTACTTCATTCTCTTTATTGGTGAAAAATAGCTCATTGCATAGGTACACTGCATTTTGTTTATGTGTTCATCAGTTGATGGACATTTAAGTTGGTTCTACTTTTTAGCAGTTGTGCATAATGCTGCTCTGAACAGTCACATACAAGTGTGTATGTGCTGTTTTCATTTCTCCTTGGAGACAGACCTAGGAGTGGAACTGATGGATCATATGTAACTCTATGTTTCACTTTTTGAGGAGCTGCCAGGTTGCAGAAGCACCTAGAGACCATTTTATATTTCCACGAGCACTGTGTGGGAGATCCGATTTCTCTACATGCTTGTTAACACTTGTTTTTTTGTTTTTTAGGGGGGATTTTTTGCTTTTTAAAAAAATTCATTAAGTTTATTGGTACATTTTAGGTATACAATATATTGACATTCATTATTGGGAATTTGTACCTTTACATAATATATCTTAGTTATTTTTTTCCCCATTCCTCTGCCCTCCCTTCAACCCCTCCACCGTTCCCTATTTGCAAAGACTGTTTCTGTTTTTTCCTTTCCTCTTGTTAATTCCTTTCCCTTCTTTCCTTTCCCCTAACCCTCCCTCTTTCCCTTCCCCTTTGCACCTTTTCTTCCTATTTCACAGTATCTATTATACATTGTGATCCTTATTTACACTTTCACTTTCTCATACCAGAGAAACTATTTGGTGTGTCCTATTTCACTTAAGAGTATGGCCTCAATGTTCATCCTTTTAGCTATAAATGTGTCTAGTTTCTTATTCTTTATGGCTGAATACTACTTCATTTTATTAAAAACAAAACAAAACAATAAAAACCACATCTTTATACAGTCATCAGTTGATGGGCGATTGGGCTATTTCCAAGTTTTAGCTATTAACAAACTGTGCCGCTATAAACATGGGTGCACATATATCGCTGTGGTATGATTCTTTTAATACTTTTGGGAAGATACCCAGCAGAGGAATAGCTGAGTCAAATGGGACCTCTAATCCTAGTTTTTTGAGGTATCTCCATACTGATTTCCACAGTGGTTTCACCAGTCTGCACTCCCACCAACAATGGAAAAGTGTTTCTTTCTCCCCACAACCCTGCCAGCATTTGTTATTGGTTGATTTCTTTCTTTCTTTCTTTCTTTTTTTGGTACCAGGGATCGAACTCGGGTCCTTCCACTTGCAAGGCAGGCGGCGGAACCACTGAGCTAAATCCCCGGCCCTATTGGTTGATTTCTTGAAAGCAGCCATTCTTTTTTGATTAAGATGGAATCTCAGTGTTGTTTTCATCTGTATCTCTCGAATGACCACTGATGTTGAGCATTTTTTCATATGCCTATTTGCTGCTTCTACTTCTTTGTCTGAGAAATGTCTGTTCTTTTCAGATGCCAATTTTTGGATTGGGTTTTTTAATTTGGGAAGTCTGATTTTTAAGTTCTTTATATATTCTAGATAGTAGTCCTTTGTCTAAGGTACAGCTGCTAAAATTTTTTTCCCACATTGTAGGTTGTCTCTTAGCTCTGTTGGTGGTTTCTCTTGCAGTGCAGAAGATTTTTAATAAGACAAGATCCCAGTTGTTGATTCTTTGTGCTAGTTCCTGTCCTACTGATGTTTTGTTCATAAAGTCTTTTTCTATGCCAATGTCTTCAAGAGTTCTACCTAACCTATCTTCCAGCAATTTTAGTGTTTCTGTTTTAATATTTAGATCTTTGATCCACTTCAATTTTAGTTTAGTGCATGGTGAAAGATATGGTTCTAGTTTTAATCTTTGGCAGGTTGAAATCCAGTTTTTCCAGCACCATTTGTTAAAGAGGCTATTTTTTTCTCTAGTAAGGGTGGTTGGCTCCTTTGTCAAAGATGAGGTGGCTGAGTGTGTCTAGAGTTGTTTCTGCATCTTCTAATCTGTTCCACTGATCCTCAGATCTATTTCTTTGCCATACCATGCTGTTTTTATCACAGTGGCTTTGTAGTATAGTTTCAAGTTGGGGATTGTGATACCACCCGTCATGTCTCTGTTACCTAGAATTGCTTTTGCTATTCTAGGTCTCTTCTGCTTCCAAATGAATTTTTGGATTGTTTTCTCTAGTTCTGTGAAATATACTGTTGGGATTTCAATCGAGATTGCATTGAATCTATATAGCAGTTTTCGAAGTATGCCCATTTTCACTATATTGGTTCTTCCTACCCAGGAACAAGGGATGTCTTTTCATTTTCTTGTATCCTCATCAATCTCTTTTTTCAAAGTGCTATAGTTTTCAAGGTAGAGATCTTTTACTTCCTTTGTTAGATTGATTCCCAGATATTTCATTTTTTTGGATGCTATTGTGAAAGGAATTATTTCCCCAATTTCTCTCTCAGTGAGTCTATTATTTGTGTACAAGAAGGCTATTGATTTTTGAGTGTTAACCTTGTATCCAGATACTCTACTGAATCTGTCAATCAACTCTAAAAGTGTATTGGAGGAGTTTTTGGGGTTTTCTATGTAGAGTATCATGTTGTCAACAAATGCAGTTTAACTTCTTCCTTTTCTATCTTCATTCCTTTTATTTCTTTCTCTTGTCTAATTGCTGTGGCTAATGTTTCCAGAACTATATTGGACAGGAGTAGACATCCTTGTCTTGTTCCTGATTTTAACGTGGAAGATTTCAGTTTTTGACCATTTAGTATGATGTTGGCTGTTGGTTTTTCATAGATAGCTTTTATCAGGTTGAGATAAAGACCCTCTATTTCAATTTTCCGTACGGTTTTTATCATGAATGGGTGTTGGATTTTGTCAAATACTTTTTCTGCATCGATTGCGATGATCATATGGTTTTTGTCCTTGACTTTGTTAATATTGTATATTACATTTATGGATTTATGTATGTTGAACCATCCTTGCATCCCTGGGATGAATCCAACTTGGTCAGGGTGTATGATACAACACTCGTTAATATTTGTTTTTTCAAAATTTTTTGTATGGTGATTCTATCATTTTATTTGTTTGAGACAGGATCTTGCTGAGTAGCTCAGGCTGGCCTTGAACTCATGGCAATTGTCCTGCCTCAGCCTCCCAAGTGCTGGGTTTCTAGGTTTGTGCCACCATGCCCGGCTGTATATCAGTGGTGGCAAACCTATGGCATGTGTGCCACAGCAGGCTATTTGTATCATTGGAAGCTCTAAAAGATTTGCCATCATTGCTCTATTATCATTTTAAAGAAGATTTAAGAAAAAAAGACAGATTTTTTTAAAAGATTTAAGGAAAATCTT